GAGGGCACAAACCTATCAAGTTTTGTCCCTCCACTGACGAACCAGGAGCTCGAGGAAGGAGTCAGGCCAGAGAGCTATGTTGGGAAATACTACAAAATATACCTGATCAAGGCCCAGGCCTACAACAGTTTCCACACATCTGTACTATCAAAAGGAAGCCTTAACGCTGAGACTTATTCTGTAAGCGACCATTTGAATAGAAGCCTTGGCAGAATTTCAAAAGCTGAGCCAAGGTCCAGAAGGTACCATTAGCACAACTGTTGCCTGTCTGTCCATCCCTACACTTAGCAGGCTGGAAACATGAGTTTCCTACCCTGGAATTAGGAGTGACATCAGGTAGTTGGGACCACTTCTTTCTTCTTTCAAACAGCCAAATCAAGGCTTCCCACCCCCACCCCCACCCCCAGCTTTTGCTAGGAACAAAATTAAAGAACAGCCAATTTGTTCCCACCTTAGGTTGGATCCATGAATATAGGCATATTTAGTCTGATAGTCATTATAAAGACAATAAATGATCTTAAGTATCTATCAGCTTTCCTGGAGCAAGGAGAAGATGGGGAGAAACGTGGAAAAGAAATGGAAGGCAAACAAAGTTTGATTTTTCACATTTTCAGTGGAAAACAAAGATTGACTTTTTCACCTTTTCCCCAGGTCTAATCTTAGTCAGAGGGCACAAAGTTTCTCTCAAGTGCTTTCATTATCTAAGCATATCAATGTTAAAGATGTATTCTTAATAAGAATTTTTTTTCTTAATGTTGTGGCTTATAGAGAGCCAATTATAAAAGCAATGTTCTGAGATTGTTAAATTTTCACAGCAATGTTAGTAAACCATATGTATATTCAACACATCTTTAGAGAGATACTGCGTGGTGGAAAATACGGTGCCTTTCTGTCCAGCCACTGACATATCATCAATGAATATGTATCAACCTCCTGTGCTGTTAGCACTTGCCCATGTATTTCACTTCAGTAATTTCTGATGCAGCATAATATGTTTGCAGACCACCTAATGTATAGTGGTCTACAGACGTTCTGGTGCAATCCCACATAGCCATCATAGGATTGATGAATTTATTTTGGAAACAGTATCATAAAAATTTAATAACATTGCTTTGTTAACAATATACTTCCCTCTCTTATAGCACCTTTCTCATTAGAAGCTTAAGAAACTCTAATCTTTCTTAATAAAGGAGGTAGACTAATTTTCCACACAAAAAAGTGTACAACATGGTTTTGGTCAGGAAAAATATAGACTATTGGCCCATAACCTAGAAGCCAATATTTCACATTGATATTTTATATCAGATTATAAAATTAATATATGTTAAGTATAGATATTTTAAAGTTGTGGAAAAGTACAAAAAGGAGATAGAAATAACTTATAAATTCACCTACCAAAGGTAATAACCCCTAATATTTGATGTAGGAGGGTGTGTTAGACAGGGTTCCCTGGAGAAACAAAATGAGGACACTAATGATTTTATGTATTTATATAGATAGATAGATAACATAAGAAATAAACAATTAATCTATAAAGCAGTACAAAGGGCCCAGTGCAACTCACTTCCATGAGACAGCTAATACACTGGCAGCCCTTGAAGTCTTGAGGCCCGCTGGGTAGACCTCTGTAGAGCAATTCAGGCTATCCGGGCACAGGCAGCAAACAGCAAGGCAGGTCACCAACAGTCAGCCAGATGACAGGGTCTGACAGTCCCCAGCTCAAGCGATGTATACTCCAGTAGCATGGGGAAACAGGGTTTGAAGGAACCTCAAACTACAGGACACAGTCCATGGGTTAGGTGTCCCACAGGTAGTGTAGCTTGCAAATTGAGGCAGAGAATAAGCTAACGCAGCCGCACACTGGTCTGAGTCTCAAAGAGCAAGAGACAAGAAAGGCGAGGCTCACCACGTCATTTATCTCTCTGCCCTTCAATTAATCCCACATGTGTTCATTGGCCACGTTGGCGCAATAAACCTACCTATCACAGAGGGTAAGTCACAAAATATTGTTACAAAATAATAGGAACCTTTATTAAAGAAAATATCAAAATCTGAAGCTATCGTTTTTTGAAATGTGCTCCATCTGTACACTTCTGAAGGCAGTGCTTCGATCTCTCTAAACGGTCCTTCTAAAATCTCTATGCTCAAGACGACAGTTTTGTAAAACACGAAGGCAAAAATTGAGTTCCTTTTAAACATTCTTTTGATTTTAAAACAAAAATAAGGCTGAAGGAGCAATACAATAGATAAATGGGATAAGGTTTCCTTAAGGATTGGTACCCTCGCTCTCTGCATTAGCGCCGAACCATGAGAGTCAAGTGGAGGTAGAAGAGAATGAGCAGACGGAAGCAAAAGAGAAGAGGAGGCCGAAGTCAAAGTGAACTAGCGTGTGCACCCTCAGAAGCGACAGAGGCAGGAAAATGGAGTGCCTGGGCCTGGATGCTGTACAAGTTGTTGACTGCACCACACTGCCTAGAACTTCTAGGAATCCATGCTGTCCGGGGCTGTAGAGTCAGTTCTAACCCTACGTATAACACATGAAGCATTGTCTAGTCTTGTGCGGCGCTCATGATTGTTGCTATTCTCACGCCCATTGTTACTACCACCTTATCAAAGCATCTCACTGAGGGGCTGCTTTTTCTCCCACTGACTCTCTACTTTACCAAGCCCGAGAGCCTTCTCCAGGAACTGGTCCCTCCTGATAATAGGTCCAAAGTTTTGTAATTCTTGCTTCAAAATAGCATTCTAGTTGTACTTCTTCCAAGACAGTTTTGTTTATTCTTCTGGCAGGCCCTGGCACGTTCAACATTCTTCACCAACACCGTAATTTAAGTGCGTCCGTTCTTCTTTGGTCTTTCTTATTTGATATCCAGCTTTCCCATGCATGTAAAGTAACTGAAAATACCATGGCTAGGGTCAGGCATATTAAGTTCTAAAAGTGACTTTAACACTTTTTGCAACAGATTTGCCCAAATGAATACATCATTTGATTTCTTGACTGCTTATAAGATGGAGTGTGAACACAAGGTCAGCAGTTTGAGACCTCCAGGTATTCTGAGGGAGAAAGATGAAGTCTTCTACGCCGGAAAGAGCTACAGTTTGGGAAGCACACAGGGACAGTTCTACCTTGTTGTATAGGTTGCTACAAATAAGATTTGACTCCATGGCAGTGAGTTTAGTTTTTTGTTTTTGTGTTTAATTCTTCCCCTGAGTGTTGATTGGAGATCCCAGTAAAATGAAATCCTTGACAACTGTAATACTATCACTACTGCCATATTCTATTGGTCAAAGCAAGTCACAAAGCTGATTCAAATCAAAGGATCATGTCTTAATTACTTAGTTCTGCTGTAATAGGAATACTACAAATGGGTAGATTTAAAAAGCAGAGATTTAGTTTCTCACTGTTCAGGAAGCTACAAATCCAGGTTCAGGGTACAGCTCTAAGGAGAGGTCCTTCCTTGTTTACTTCAGCCCTAGTAGCTGGGAAAACTGGTGTAAATGAACTTGCAGATTCACTTATTTTCATTATCTGTCTTCCTGTATATCTCTGTCTCTATTCTGCTCTCGTTAGAACGCAAAAGTTATTATCTATAGAGCCCGCCCTACACAGGCATTGACTAATTAACCTAACAAATAAAACTTAATTTTCTCAAACAAGATCATATTTATAGGCATAAAGATCAGGATTTCAATATACAAAATTTAGGGACACAATTCAACCGATATCATTTAAGTAATTAGATTCTACTCTCTAATAGGAAGAGTTGCAAAATATGAGGTGGCTTTTTAAAGTTGTTGGAAAATCCTATTATCTTTTAGTTCCATTCTTCCATGAACTCTGAAATTCTTTCATATGGTGGCCACGTTTTTCAAACATACCAACATCCACTACCTAGTCACAATTTTTACCTTCTTTCTACATGCAAGGTGTATTTAACCTAATTCCAAAAAGTTCCACCCTGTTATGTTATCAATCATAGATAGAGGGGTCAAAATTTCATCAACTAAATCAGGTCAAGATGGAAGTAGGGGTTGCAAGTAATATACTTTATGGGCAGCTCCAAGTGTAGTCTTGGTTAAGAGATGTACGAACTAAAACACACTCAATATATAATAATGAAAAAAAGACAAGATAATCACAAAGGTATTTCATTCAAAGGGAGGTGGGGTGGATATCCATAATCGCCAATGGTCCAGTGTAATTGTGAAATCCACCTGGGCTAAAGACAAACCATAATCCTTGATTAGGGACTAACCACTTCTGATTCTTGAGAGTCATATCTTAAATAGTGTTCTCTATGATTCCTTATTCTTTCCTCTCCTCTGAGAGAATCTTCTCTTTTCCAGAAGAAATGGCTCTTGTTTGCAGCTGAAGGTCTTTCTCAGCTGACTTTCTGACAAAAAAAAAGAGAGAACCCATAGGACTCCTCATTTTGAAAATGTAGATCTGAGTCACTTTAGTCCAAGATAGCAGAGAGTTCGTTCATAAAATGCTCTTAAGTCTTTGTGAATTTCCTATGAATCTCATTGGTGTTGTTAACGCCATTACTCAGTCATATCCCTGTTCCTTTTTTTTTCTACATTGTAAAAGTTTTTATTTTACAGATTTTATTTAATGTTAATGAATTTTATTTAAGGAATTTCCCATGTATTTCATTTGTCATCCATCGGTTATTATTTAGTTCCTCCAAATCTTGTGAAAGTTCATCTTCAAGATAGCCCTTTTTAAGGAGCCCATGCTAAAATCCACTGTTGTCAAGATACTGTCCAGTAGGCATTAATCTCAGCTCTGTCATAATTCTTCTGGTTACACCACTGTAACCTCCATTATGGACAAACGTCAAACATTTCATGCCTGAAAATTCTGTTATTCCCTTTAGGGCCATCTTGGGATCTGATTCATTCTGCCTTCCTCTCAATTTCAGATACCCTAGAAAAAGAAAATAATCAGTTCCTAACATTTTACTAACAAGCAAGTTATCATTCCAAGGAATTATTTGAATTGTATCAATAGAAATACCAGGTTTAACATGCACAAAACCAAGAAAGCCAACGTTGCAAGATACTGAATTTCTATCACACTCTCCTTTGAACACCCCAGCAAGAAAACGCTGCTGGGTGCAGACACCATGCAGTGCTGTCCTGTTCCTTAGGAGACAATCCTCACTATACCTTGGCCCAGATTTGTGGCTAAATGAGAACGTGTCCTTCAAGTTTTTATATGTCTCTTCTTTCTTGCTTACAGGATCTATCTGATACCCTCTTAAATTCATCAGAGGTTTTAACAAGGGTCTTACAGCCTTATCCTTGATCTTATCTTTTCCCCAAGCTTCCTTTATTTTTTTAAAAACCAACTGGAAAGACCAAGGATGAGAAAAACACATTCCAATTCAATAAATCTTGGTCATTGCAATCAGATGTGGGGCAACATCTGACCCCATCTGGCTTCATAAGGGGAAGGAGAATTAGACTCATCAGTTCAAGGCCAATTTCTATGAGGTATTGTTGTTGTTATGGTTGTTGTCAGGTCCCATCAAGTAGGCTCCAACCCATAGAGACCCTATGCCCAACAGAATGAAGCACTGCGCAGTCCTGAACCATCCTCACAGGTATTCCTGTGCTGAAGCCCATTGATGTGGTCACTGTGTCAATCCGTCTTGTTGAGGGCCTTCCTCTTTTCACCACCTCTGCACTTGGCCAAACACGATGTCCTTCTCCAGGGACTGGTCTTTCCTGACCACATGTCCCAGGTATGTAAGACAAAGTCTTGCCTTCCTTGCCTCTAAGGAGCACTCTGGCCTTACTTCTTCCAGTACAGTTTGTCCTTTCAGCAGTTCACGGTTCTTTGAATATTCTTCTCCAGCACCATAATTCAAATACATCAATTCTTCTACAGTCTTCCTTATTCAATCTCCAACTTTCACATGTATATGATGCAATGGAGAATACCTTGGCATGGGTCAGGCACACCTTAGCCTTAAAGTAACATCCTTGCTCTTCAGTACTCTAAAGATGTCTTGTGCAGCAGGTTTAACTAATGCAACACATCTTTTGATCTCTTGACTGCTGCTTCCATGAGCATTGACTGTGGGATTTCCAAACATACATGTGTGTACGCACACACAGTTTTGCCTAGGTGCAAAAAACAGGGATACCTTGATTATGGTTTCTGGATCCCAGATGAAAAATACAAAACAAAGCCCGATCCTGATAAATTGTAGCTGTGGTGTTTTCCTCTTTTCTTTCCCTTTACTATGACAGCAGCATACCTCCCCAAACAAGGGCTCTTTCACCTTTAGAATGACATTCCATTTTTTATGATTTGCTGCCATGATTTTTATCCTTATTCAAAACACATCAATACCATTAACATAAAACCAATGCCCCCCTCTTCTACCCCTTTCTTACCCTCTAATCTCTGATTTTTAAGTATTTGATATATGTATATATAAAATAGTATTTGTATATTTATATAGTATTTGTATATTTATACATATAAAATAGTATTTGTCCTTTTGAGACTAACATTTTACTTTTAGCAGAATGTTTTCAATGTTCATAAATATTGTGGCATGAATGAACATTTCATTTTTCTTTATGACTGCTTAATGTTTGGGATGTCTTGTGCAGCAGGAGCAAAAACATAAAACCAAAATATTTGAAATAAATGGGCAGTGCAAGCAGATTTCTAATTTTGAGGACTAGTCATGAAAAAGGCGCCATGGAGGTGTAGTGCCTATGCGTTGGGCTGCGATCCCCAGGGTCAGCAGTTTGGGACCACCAGCAACTCTGCAGGAGGAAACCTGGGCTTTCTACTCAGGTCAGTAGTTACAGAAACCCACTGGGGGATCACGGTGAGTCAGCATTGACTCGATGGCAGTGAGTTTCGTTTTGATTTTTCAATATATTCATGTCCTAAGTTACACTCAACAATAAATAACTCAGCCTGTACGTCTTGGGAACGCATTCACATGGGAAGTTAGTCAGTACAGTAATAATTAAGGGTTTGAAAACGAGTGTCTATTTTCTTAGATATTTCCGAGTCACAGCAGAATTCATTAGAATTTCCTCTCTCAGTTGCACTGTCATACACTTCTACAGTACAAGCGGAGGCTCCAGTCTCCATACAGCCTCGCCAAGACTTCTTTAAGTTCGTCACTGACGTTCAAAGGGAGGGGAAGGACATTTCATTATGGTTTTGATTTGCCTCTCTGCAATAGCTATAGAGTCACTATGAGCAAGAATCAGCGCAACAGTAACAAGTTTAAAACCTGATAATGTTGAACTTCTTTTTTATCTGTTCTTTGGTAGTTTGAGTATTCTCTTTGGTGAACTGTCTGTTCAAATACTTTGCCCATTTTTTGATTGGGTTGTTGAGTTGTAGATGTCATAAATATATTTTGGACACTAAGTCTTTATCTGGTATATGATTCCCCCCAAATTTCCTCCCAATCTATAAGTTATTTGTTCACTTTGTTGATATGTTCTTTGATGTCAAATTTGTTTAATTTTATGAGGTCTAATTAATATATTACAATTTTTATACTTTTGTTATATTTAATAATCTATTACTAAACATTAGGTCTCACAGCCTAGCACTTACATTTCCTTCTAGGAAGTTTATGCCTTTTGTTTTCACATTTAGATTCTTAATCCTTTTTGAATCAGCTTTTGTATATAACTATATGTGTGTGTGTATATAATATATATATGTAACTTTATATATATAAAACTTTAGTTCTTGACTGACATCTTCAATCTGGGATCTTAAGGACATTAACATGTCATCTAGCTTGCCTCATTGTCTTTCGACAAAATATTTCTTAGTAAATGTGAGGTAGAGGAAAAGCTATCAGCTTTGCACGTAATTAACTGAATACTTTTTGTCATTTTAACTCTTTAGCCTCCATTTTGCCTTCTGAAAAATGAAAGGCTTGGAGTAGATGATCCCAATGTCTTTTTTATCTCTACAATAACACCAAAGATATCATCTTACACAGGTGAATATTTACTTTTAAACCACCATAATGGAAAACCCATAATGTCTACAATTAACCTTTGCGTGGTTCTGTCTGGGAGTCTTTACAATCTGAAACATTAAAATGTTCTTTTATGTATTCTAAAATTCTTTTAATATTCTTTTTATCTTTCTAACTTAAATCATTTCAGACCGGCAAAGCATTATATAACCTAAAGAAGGACTCCCATTAGTAAGTACCATCTTCTCCACTTCTAAATCATTAATACACACGATAAATGAGATGACACGTAGTACTACCACCCACAAGCAATCCATTAGATATTCTGTCTCTCAGAGAGATAAGAGCAGCTAAACTGTGGTCGTGGCAGTATCTGGTGCTCCCTGCTCTCCTTTCTAGACGCTATCTTTCCAAGTTTCCATCAGAAAGGCAATGGCAGGCTAAATATCCCACATTAAGAGAATAAAATAAAAGTGAAATAATTTACCTAACTTTAGGGTTTATTTCAGTTTAAGCATCAACACTGGTTGTTACATCCCTAGACTCTCAAAAATTTTATTCAAAACACTTGCATATTCTTTATTTCTTTAAGATTTTTATTTAATCAATTTTTTTTAATTCTAAAAGTAATACTTGTACGTACACTTATACATTTTTATGTTAAGGCCAACCAAAATCAAATTCACTGCTATGAAGTCGATTCCAATTCATATCTTTTCCTCTTCTTTGTATGTTGCTTCCCAGAATTAGTCATGATTAATCATAGACTTCTCAATTGTTAATATCTATCTGTCTATCTATCTATCTATTATCTATCTATCTACCTATCTATCTATCTATCTATCTATCTATCTATCTATCTATCTATCTATCTCTTATGCCACTTTGAGGACTAATGTGCATCTGAAACAAAATATGGTATTTTCAGGTGCCACGCATTATGTGAAAACTGGGCAGTGCATAAGGAAGGCCAGAGAAGAACTGATGCATTTGAGCTCGGGTGTTGGCAAAGAATATTGAATGTTCCATGGACTCCCCAAAGAACAGGCAAATCTGCTGGAAAGAAGCACAGCCAGAATGCTCCTGGGAGAGGAGATGGCAAGAGCTCATCTCATGTACTTTGAACTTGTTACCAGAAGGGACAGTTCCTGAAAAGGACATCAGACTTGCCAACGTAGAGGATTCGCAAAAAAAAGAAGGCCCTCCACAAGACGGGTGGACTCAGTGGCTGCCATGACGGGCTCGAGCAGGGCACTGGCTTGAGGACAGTGCAGGGCCACGCGGGGTTTCATGCTGTTACACATAAAGTTGGGACAATAAATCTCTTTTAATTCCATTTTTATGACGTTTTGGAAACCTTCTTGTATATACACACTTAAAAGAAGGTAACTCACCATGTAAACTTCTTTATACCTTACCTTTTTTCATTTAAAATTTTATCTTGAGTATTTTTCCACTGTACCATTTATACTTCGACTTTATTATATTTATGGCTTATATAATATTCTCCTGGGTCCTTGTGCTTCACTTAATATATTCTTGGCTTTAAGTAACAGAAAATTTGACTTAAAGAGGCTTATATGAAAAGGACATTTATTACTTTGTATAACAAGAAATCTGGAATCTGAGTATTTTAACAGTTCAATAATTTCAGAAAGATCTAGTTTTATTTCTTTCTGCTCTCCTGTCCATAGAAATGTTGTGAAACCTTCTGGTTTCAACATGACCGCTGCAGCTCTAGGCGTGATGCACCATGCCACAGCCTCTAAAGATAATCAAATAACTGTTCATTTTTAGGTGCCTCTTTTATTAAACCATCGAAAGCTTTCAAAAGCCCTCAAATGGGGAATATCTGTGTGAGAAGTGGCGAGAATCTAACATTGTTTTCATTGTATTTCAGTAAAAAGTTAAATGTATTACAGTACATCCTTACTGAGAACATGTGTGCAGGAATGTGAAAACAAGTTAGTAAGTAGAGAGAGCTAGTTATAAGACACATCAGGTGTCTCTCTATGTGTGTGTTACAAGCTCGTTTATAAGGAAAAAGTTGCATTTGCTTAAACATTTATAATGACACCTATAAAATGATGGTGACTTCTGGGGAGTGGAATTTCAGTGAGGTGAGAACAGGATAATTTATTTGTATTTCTCAACTCTTTT